TGAAAAACCCATTTTAACTCTAATAAAAGGGATTTTCTACTTATTTGGTCTTTGAGGAAAAAACGAGCAGAGACCGCCAATAATCGATTATTGATCATGAATCGATTAAGTGAACTCGTAGCAAAGGAAAAAGCCCTTTAGAGAGGGAATATTTATTTTTGCGTTATGAAACAAATTAAAGATCTATCAACTTCCCGTCTTGATGACGGACTTCCGGCCGAGTGACCCGGCATCACCTGATAATTCCATGTAGAGATGAACCGGTACACCCAGCAACCGCTCCACAACCCCGTGACGACCTCAAGTCCCCGATATTTGTTCTTGTTGGGGTCCTGGAAGGCCGCAACAAGCGCACATGAACGGTGAAACTCACATCTGCGGTTGGGAAAGTGCCAGAGGAGCAAAACGAGGCAGTAGCCAACGCCTTCCTCCATTGGTAGCTGAGAGTTATTCTATCATCATTGTAATTACTTTGCAACGATGTTGCTAGTATATTGGATCATTATCAGCGCTGCATCCACTCTGGATACACCATTTGCTAGAGGAACGAATCGTTTCAGGACGTAATGAAAATAATATCTCAAGGTCGTTAGGAGCTTTTCTACTTTTTTTTTCTTTTCAAATCATTCTATGAGATTCTCTAACGGTTCGATGAATTACAATTTCTATTTGTAAACTGAGTTTCATCTTTATAACTTCATTTATTATATATTTGATGTTATTTTTCTCTCATTGGGTGGGAAAATTGTCAAAGTTGTGGTTGGAATTTTATGATATTGCAATTCCATTGAAATAACAGATCTTGAAGAAAATTCAGAATTTCGTGGAAATATCAGATAGAACTGTAAATTTCCGCTCCACGCTTCCCGGAAATTAATAGAAGATCAGAAAATTCCGGTGAATATATTTTTCAATTTCATACTGTACTGAAAGTTCAAATAAATTAATAAATTTCTGTCTCCATCCCCGTAAAAATTCTGGGATTTCACGGGATGTCATGACCCTGATTTTTTATTATAAAACAGACAAACACCGAGACTATCGATATCTCGAAAGTCTGTCATGTTTACTGCTCAGTGGTTCGTCTGAGCCGGGTAATATGAATTCAGGACTCATTTAATTTTGAAATTTTCAATCATGATTTT